CATTAGAAAGACAGACTTGTCATTATTGTGGGCAATCTCAATGCACAGAGATATTAAGATGAGATTCTGCAACCAGTGGCATATTAACACAGTTCGCAACCAAACTCTGATCTCCAAGATAATAATGCTTGCTCCTGAAGCCCCTGTTTGTTAAATGAATAAATTGTTAAATAGCCAGTATGTCTTGTTTCTTCAGACTTAAATCATCTAATCCAGTAAACAAAAAACAAACAAGTCAGTAGCAGAATAACCTGTCTGGCACCGAAAGAAAAGATTTGACAAGTTTTTCATGGGCGCAACCCACATAATCAACTCTGCTGCTCAACCCACAAATGCATTTTCGTTACAAATGTGGCAGCAAGTAAGTGTTAAAACAGGCTTTCCAACAGTATAAGCCTTACTGCCAAGAAGCAGTGTTACAACAACACTAAATACAAATATGCTTTGTTTGAGTGACATACACTGGAATAAGGCTCGCTTGGGTAAAGGTATGGGCAAACTGTCATACAGTGTACACATTTTATTTCAGTCTAAATGCATTTTTTGGATCCAAAATAACCAGTATTAGTTTTGGTCATGAAAAATAGGAAACCAAATTGGTTTCCTATTTTTATAGAACTGTTTTATCCACTTTTTTCCTCCAAATACATTGGCCCATATCAAAATTCCAAAACTTATAGTTATCTGGGCACATGAGCAAGTCAGCCTATCCTATTTCAAGGAATTTCACCCAAGTCCATCAGAAAGCTAGCACAAAGAGGCAACCACACACTCTCACAGTCGCATTCAATTAATATTCATTAACAACACTAACAAACATGTCTTTGTAATGTGGGAGGAAAAACCTGTTGGAAGCCAAACTGGCACGGAGAACATGTATACTCAGGCTGGCTAGCAGATTCAAACCGAGGACTTTCTTGCTGTTGCTGCTGTTCTGTTTGTTTGTATTATTGTAGGGTCTTAACCTTACAATATAAAGTGCCTCGAGGCAACTGTTGTTGTGATTTGCTCCTTGCAAAATCGTGAGCTGTTAACCACAAGCAGTTAGTTACTATAGAAATACGCAGATACATGTAGCTTTGATTATTAGGCATTATCTGTAGCACCCATTTGTTTACATTATGTTATTACTGAGAGACATAAATTGCACTTATAGTATGTTCCTTCCTGTTTGTCCTTGCTTATAGGGGATGGTGTGATAGTTCTGTCTATAATATTACTGGATTTGTGCTTATAATATAAAGTACCAACAGATGACTGTTTTGTAAACTGGTGCCATATAAATGAAATTGAATTGGCTTAAACAAATTGATGGGCTCAAATGGTAAATGGCCTGTATTTGTATAGCGCTTTTACTAGTCTCCCCTAGGGACCCCAAAGCGCTTTACACACCCAGTCATCCACCCATTCACACACAGGTGGAGGCAGCTACAGTTGTAGCCACAGCTGCCCTGGGGCAGACTGACAGAAGCGAGGCTGCCATATCGTGCCATCGGCCCCTCTGGCCAACACCAGTAGGCGGTAGGTGAAGTGTCTTGCCCAAGGACACAACGACCGAGACTCCAGGGCTCGAACCGGCAACCTTCCTGTTGGCGAACTCCCAACTCTTGAGCCACGATCGCCCCCCCCAAATGGGTCAACTGACTCTTCAGCAAGTGCATTCTTCAGAAAAGAACATCCCTCTGTTATTATTTGGTTTGTCGTGTATTTTATTTTTGTTGTAACATAAAAGGCAATATCTCAAAATGGACACAGACCGAATAAAGATGGTGGCTTTAGTATCAGATTTCAAAATCACATATTTTTCCAAGGTCAGCACACACATTACACCTCGAGGCAGGGAAAGGAAAGTAATGTCAGCTTCCAGTCTGTCAAGAAGCTGTCATAAACCTTTCTTCTGCTGCGGATTTTTTCAACTTGGCTTGCATCAGGTTATGCCGTCACCTCTTCTCACCTCATCTCACCCTTTCAGCCCTCCTGCAAATGTTAAAGAATTTTTTTAACTGCCACCTCGGCTAACCCTCCAAACACACTGCGCAAATAAGATGTTCATTTTCTCCAAGTGAGTGAACATGCTTGTAAAACTCATTCATGACAAAAAAAAAGAGTCATAACTTGGCATGGTTGTCTTTGGTTGCATGAATATAAGCTGAAGATTATTTGTTAAAACTGTAATCTGTCAGGCAAAAACCCACAATGGAGTACCAGTCACAGGTCGCTACAAGTCTCTGTTTGCCCTTACTGTCTGTCTCCCTGTGATGTTCAGGTACATTCCTACCTGACACCTGGAAGCCGAGGGCTCAGCACAGGAAGGTGTTTTAGTGGATTTATGGTTTAGGGTCCACACCCTGCACACTTATGGATTCAGGGGAACGTGTCAAGAAAATGTAGACATCTAAGTATAGTTCTCACATTTTCCTCTGCCTTAGCAAGGTATGAGATTTCTTAGATAAAATCTTGAAAACAAACGTTATTGGCCAAAGGAATGCCTGATCCAAGTTTTTGAGCTTTCAGTGTTGCTTTACAGCACTTCAGGCGTCATTTATTATATGTTTACATGAAGATGTGATAAAATGCATGAAATTTGAATGGTTCACATTAGAGAACAAACAGCAAGTACAGAAGGGCAGATTAGCGGTTTTTGAGCATTGAGAATAACCAAAAACTGCTGACACGAGCCTGTGACTTAGTGTCCAGGATTAGCATCCACATAGCAATGACATACAACATACTCGTTGGGATGTGTTAAACATGGCATAATTATGGAAGAGCGTTTCTGCCACACACGAAAAAAAAGTATCCATAACTCAAAATTTCGAGTTAGCGCTTCCAATCAGTGAATGAGATCATTTCCTTGTTACCCGGAAGCTGAAGCCCTCAGCTACAAATGCTACAGCTAAGCTACCAGTATCACAGCCAGTCATGAATGCACAGATTGCTGAGTATTTTCAGTGAGGCTTCACAAATGATGAAATCCTTGTGTTATTAGCTGAATCACATGGCGTTACTATCAGCCACGTACTCTCGAAAGCGTCAGTTTGTTGCAGTCTGGTTTTGAGTGTGCATTCCTCTGCACCATATCCTTCCGGGTAACAAGAAAATGACGTCATTTACGTAGATTACAGATTGGCAGAGCTAACTCGAAATTTCGAGTTATGGATAGGGTTTTTTTGTGGCAGAAACGGGCTTCCATACTTAAAAGCACATGCACACACACACAAAACTGTAAGCCCACAGATATATTCAGTGTGTTACTTCAGTCAGCACTTTTTGTATTTGGTTAGGTTGGCCTGTATGCAGAATCAGAATCAGAAAGGTTTTATTGCCAAATGTTGAGCAGGTTTACAACATCAGGAAATTGCTGCGGTGCTTCAGTGCAAACATACTGTCATAAATTACGCTAAAATAGACATTAAAATAAAAATAAGAATAAGAATTAAAAGTGCTAAGTGGATAGATATATACATGATATATACATGAGTGCAGGTGGTGATCAGTGACAAACATGGAATGATGCAGTGAACACAGCGTAGGGTCATGTGTTAGTGGTGGGAACAGTCATATGGTTATTGTTCATGTGTCCGACAGCAGAGGGGAAGAAACTGTTCTTATGGCGAGAGGTTCTGGTGCGAATGGACCGGAGCCTCCTGCCTGAGGGGAGCAGGTCAAACAGACTGTGTCCAGGGTGAGAAGGGTCAGCTGTGATCCGAGCTGCACGCCCCAGTGTCCTGGAGGTGTACAGGTCCTGCAGAGATGGGAGTCTGCAGCCAATCACCTTCTCAGCAGAGCGCACAACACGCTGCAGTCTCTGTTTGTCCCTGATAGTGGCTCCAGCGTACCACACGGTGATGGAGGAGGTGAGGATGGACTCGATGATTGCAGTGTAGAATTGCATCATCGTCCGTGTTGGCAGGTTGAATTTCTTCAGCTGCCTCAGGAAGTACATCCTCTGCTGGGCTTTCTTAATGACGGAGGTGATGGTGGGCTCCCACTTCAGGTCCTGATGAATGCACTTGGTGCTAGTGATAAATCAGAGTCAGAATACTTTATTAATCCATCCATTTGCTTCCGCTTATCCTTTTCAGGGTCGCGGGGGGCGCTGGAGCCTATCCCAGCTGTCATAGGGTGAGAGGCGGGGTACGCCCTGGACAGGTCGCCAGTCTTGCTTTAATACTTTATCAATCCCAGAGGAAATTATGTAGTCACAGTTGCTCCTAATGTATATGTTGAGGCTTTATGTATACTGAGCTGTTTTAGACTATAAGAATAGTTCTAACATTTTCCTCCATGTGACTTTAGAAGTAGTAAAATCTAAGCATTTGGTAACCAGGAAGGAGTGCAGAAATATGAAGATGCCAATGCTGAGCACAACAGAATGCAAGACAGGCATCATAAAATCTAGAAATGCATTTGAACTAATGGTGTTGAACAATGGAGGAAGATTATTTTATTTCGTGGGAGGTTACATTGCTCTGCATAACTTTCCTTGCCATTCCTTTTAATGTCGTGGTATTTCAGACAAAGACACAATGTCATGTTTTCACTCTTCCTAGTAACATTGTTTGAAAGCATGCAAGTCTGTGTTCTTCTTCCTTGTCACACCCTCTTTTTGTTAGCTAACCCATGGGTTTGGTTGGTTAAGTGTAGCTTGTTTGTCACAGACACACACACACACACTAACTCTGCCACACAAACATTTCTCCTCCCCTTTTCAAGTGTGTGCCACATGAAAGCGGCGTACACCCGTCTCTCTCAGTGTCAGCGGTGTGTTATTAGCATCCAGAGACTCCAGAGTGTCTGCTGCGCTGTCACCTCCCACAGCCTCCTTTACACGCACCCTGCCTGTTTGTGTGTGTAAAATATATAGATGGGCGCAACCTGGATCTGCTGTCTGACTCACTCCGAGAGGCACACCAAGAGCGCACCGTCAGCACTACGCCTTTGTGTGTTTGGTGTATTCACGCGTAAACACGGGTAGAAATGAAAACACCAGCAGCAGATTGAAATACACAAAATAGTACATTTTATTTTTGGTTTGCTTTTTCAACTTTACAGAAAAAAAAGCTCCAAAGGCACAAACTGTTGTGCTACTTCATATCTACACTTGACACTATAAATAAAAAACCTGAGCACAGCACACTTCTGAAAGATTATAAACAGCTTGTTTTTTAAAAATATTTTAGCACCAACTTGCTAGGAAGTGAAAGGCCAGGGGATTTTGTTTTGCTTTGTTTTTTAAAATAAAAAAAGTATTACTGAGCTAGCGAAAACACCAAAAGGCTTTAAAAGTGTGAGGAAATAACTAAAGTGATATAATCAGGGTTATCTCGGTTTAAGATTTAAAGAAAGGCCGGGCTATGATGTTTAAAAGATGTGGGAATTTATACTACAATGTGGTGAATTACGGCACTTGTAGGTTGTATTTTAAGCATTAGCATTTTTACAGCTTGGCTCAGGCTCAGCTGCCCTTAAACTTTTTGTAGCTGCGCACCAAACCTCTGTTGGAGGCATTTATTATTAAAAAAAAGATTAACTGAATAATATGTCTGTCTTTGGATATGCAACGCATATTCTGTGACCGGGAGTGGAGGATTCCAGCAGAGGAGTCAAACTCTGCTCAAGTATGTGTGTTCACTGTGTAGCAACAGTTAGCAGCTAGTTAGCTTAGCCTATCTTAACTTAGATTAGTTCTACTTATATGCTCTTATAAACTTTTTAAAACCCTACACTGCAACTTACGCCATAATCTGATGTGTGCTTCCTTATAAATACAACTATGTTTCGGATCAGCGCCACCTGCACTGACACTTGAGACCAGTATTGCCGATTCCTCCTCTGCGCTTCCAGCTACTTTCTCTTCTGTCTTAATTTTTTAAATTGACTCATCTTTTATCCCATGTATGATTTGCAAACAAGTCCACGTCTCCTATGCAAACTACAGGCAGCTGTGGCACTCTGCTTTTGATTGGAGCAATTACAAAGTGGTTTTTGATGCAACACCCCCTTTGTGACCAATTTCACCCGTTGGCTGCAAGCAACCTCCAGGACTCATTCGCCAACCAGATGGGGATTATATATTTTTCACAACCAATATGGCAGACTGCATCATGCCATGCAAATTATGGGGTGGATTGAATATGAGCCACTTTTTAAAAGAGCATCTTTAAGTGTTTTTAAAACATATGTCAGCTAGTTTAGCTTTGTTTCTAACTAACTATATTGGCTAGAAGCAGCTATTCTGGCTTTTAGCCACTAGCCCCCAGAGGTGAGTTTAATACACTGCTCATACTCATGTTCAGATGCTGACTTTGTAGCTACAACCAGCAGCTGGTTAACCTGCCTAACCCTTGGTGTAAATACTGGAACAAGAGGTGCGGCTCTATCTGAAGGGGGGGATCACTTTTAGTCTAAGCCAAACCTCTAAACTGAGAGCACAAGCTTTGCTCTTCACTTCCACACAAACCAAAACCACCTGTTTGCTTGTGTTGCTAAGTCCGCTTTGTTGTTCCACAGAGGAAAACAAGTTTCATTCCAGCAAATGTGAAATTACATGCTGGTAATTATTCTCCTCTGTTTCGCTGTTGCGTTGATATGTTATGCGTGTAATGGTCATCAAGCTGTCATATTCTTATTCTATATCAATTCCAAGCCCTGCGCTGAAATAGTGTGGCAGGCTTTCTTTTGATGGGCGACTTTCAGTAGTATTACCAGTTTTAGTGGAATAAGTCTGTCTAACTCCCCCTTACAGAAAGAAGAAACGTGTGAGGGAAATACTGAGCATTTCTATATTTTTCTGCATAAATATATTCAGAATTCAAATATTTATAAACAAAACATGAACTGTTATCAGTGATATTGAATATAAATGTCAGTCTCTGCACTAAAAAACCCATTTGAATCACCCCGGTCTCCCACAGTGTTGTGAGTTCACCTTGTGGGCGGTGGAGGGTAAATGAGGCCGACACTTGTTTTCAATCCACATTTGCAGCCTGTGTGACAACATGTGTTTTGGGTTTTTGCAGTTATGACTCGGATTTGATGATCACTGTCAGGTGTTTCTGCACACAGCACAGCTCAGAATCATCCAAAAAAAAAAAAAAGCCCCAGGTGAAGCCCAGGACTCCAGTCGAAATGTTGTCCATTTTTCTACATCAGTAGACGGCTCCCATACTCTGTGTGGCCGACGGAGCAGTTGGTGGTGCGTGGTGCACTTGGCCTGACTGTGAGAGACCTAAGTGTGCACCCTGCTGTTGGTACCAGTTCTGGTGTGTGTACTCCCCCATATAGGCAGGTGGAGAATCCACCGGAGGCTGATAGGGAACCTGCCCCCTACTGGTAGGATCCAGCATTGCACTATTTTTGACGCTACCGTTGCTGACGTTTGGGTTGTTGCCGCTCCCGCTGCTGTGGTTGCTGCTGTTATTGTTACCATTGCTACTGTTGTTGTTTTCCCACACAGCTGGGGATGGAGGAGAGTTGCAGGCCATGGAGTCACTGGCGTCTGGACTGTGTTCAAGAGGAATATCACCGAGCGGAAACTCTCCGTTCTTGTAGAGCTTCTTAAACTTGGAGCGACGGTTCTGGAACCAGATTTTGACCTGAGAGGAAGAAGATAAAATGTTGAAGCAACTTAAATATTAGGATTTGTTTTTTGGCCACTAGTGTGTGACATATTGTAACTATATAGTTTGAGCATAGTTTGTAACTATAAAGTCTGAAATAGTAAAATATCCTTATTTGGCTTCTTGTTTGGAATTTCACTAGGATTGATACCATAAAGGTGTCACCTTGGTTTGGATTTTTTCCATCTTAGAATTTCGTATATTTTTGCCTTCACATGCAAAATCATCTATTTTATGCTTTTTAAAAAAAGCATCAAAATAACTACGACAGAAACAGAGCTATTGAAGTTTGCCTCAATAGCCGTTTTTGTGTTTGCTGTAGCGGGGAGGTTCAACTTTTGATGTTGAAACTTGTATTTCCGATCGACTAGCAGTGAATGTTTGCAGACAAGTCGGCATCTTCCACAAGAACTACAGGCGACTGTGGTAATCTGCTCATGACCAAGGCAATCACAAGGTGGTTTTAAGTGCATGCACCTTGTGACAGTTGTGGAATATACATTGTTCCTCCATGACCGGTTTCCACGTGACTACTGGAAAACTTATGTGAGAAATTTCTATTCACATTTTTCAAAACCAGCTGCCTATATTACGCATAATTGACTGGTAAGATTAGTCAGAGATATGGGTGCACTATAGTGTTAATCTAAGCCACAAGCAGAATGGGGAGAGTTTGAAGATAAACTTATTCTTCCTTCAACTTTCTATGCTAACTCTATAGCTAAAGCCAGCACCTAGTTAGCTTACCGTCAGTTTTTAATGTACCTATTTTCTTCTTTCTTTTTAGCACTGTTTTGCTAATCAAGTAGAATTTCTCTGCATAAATGTGAGTTTTCTCAGGCTTTCTAGCCAAAACATGCAGTAAAAAGCTTAAATAATCTAATTTCAGGCAATTTGTCTTAATTGTATGAATTACAGACAAGTTTAGCAGCTAGCTAGTAAACGCTATGTAGCATTTAGCTGCCGAGGAGGCAAAAACTGAGTTATATCCATTATGTGGCCAAGACAAAGTATTCCAAGTCTATTATAATGTTTGTTATATTTCATTAACCAGTATTTTAAAGAAATACAGATTTATATAATTTTTTTGAAAACTCACTGCCTTACTTAAATGTCTGTATCATTGCCTTAATCTCATCTCAAAGTCATTTCTAAAACGCACCTATTCAACAGCTGTTACCAAATAAATCTTGATGCAGCTAATTTTTAAACAATAAATAAGCTTTAAAAAAAGAATGAGGCATATTAATTCTTGTTTAATGTGGACTTTAAAGAGATTGTTAACCCTATTATTCTTTTATTTGTCAGTGAATGCTTCAAATCATATTTCATGCTTTTTCAAGCTGAAGGGAACTGTGCTCATGTCTGTGTTTGCTTAAAGCTTGGGAATGTTACCCGAGCATGACGCAGTGCAATGATTTACAACAGCTGTGATAAAACAACTCACACCTCAAGTTTTGTCTTTTATCACTCAAGCACAGATAATACGTCTGCTAGTAAATCATCAGGGCACGGAGATTACGACAGCAAAAACCAGACTGACACACTGCAACAACTCGCAGCGCTGCCTACAGTCAAGGTCAGACGTTCAGTGTAGTGTATTTGTGTTCTCCTCTATTTTCATCTGGGGGAGTTTTAAAGCGTGATTTTTTCATACATTTCACATTTTTATTTCGGAGTGATTCCAGTTCAGTTTTTTGTAAATTTTATATATTGTAGCATCTTTATCTTCAAGTTTTGAGACCTCTGAAACTTTAGAGTACACCTCAAACACCTCAGCTTTCTGCGCTGTGAATCTTTGCATTCAGCTGACATCGCTGCTAAAAAGCCAGCATCACTGTCCATTCAGCTGCTTTCATTTCTCAAGTCTCTGATAGTTCCACTGCTTTAGGGCCTTTTCAGTTTAGACCCTGGCTTACATATAAAATGACCTTAGGAAGCCAAATTTGAATGTGAAATACTATCAGCGCATCCATTTCACAGGACACTTCACATCCTTTCCGTGCTTCCACTTGGCCGGTACTTCCGATGCTTTTAAATTCTGCAAGTCATGACTGAACTGCAAAGTTATCACCCATAAAGTCTCACCTGCGTCTGTGTGAGGCCCAGCTGTGCAGCCAGCTCGGCCCGCTCTGGCAGGGCCAGATACTGGGCTGTCTGGAATCTCCTCTGCAGAACTGCCAGCTGGTAGCTGGAGTAGATGGTCCGGGGCTTGCGTACCTTCTTGGGCTTCCCGTTGACCAGCCTAACTTCCACGTCTGGTTCTTCTTTCACTGCAGTGGCGGCGAGGGAAAACAAAAAAGAAGTAAAAATACTGCAATATTTTAACTGACGTATTACCCTTTCACGCCTACGTTTCTCATACAATGAACTAAACTTGCATTGTTTTACTACAGGGCAGTTGGTGCAGAGAAGTTTTAGCACAAAAATAGCCAGAGCCACTGCAAACCCCGAAATTTCAAAGAAATTCCGCCAGCACTCTGAGCTTATAATTTTGGTCTGAGTGTCTCCCACAGCTGGGGAGGGAGACAGAGATTTATAGGTGCTTTTCATGTAGCCTGGAGGCCTGGCTGTATACAACGCCGCTCATTTGTCCTGTTGTTATTCTTGTATCCTTTTTTGGGGGTCTGTCTTTAAATATACAACCCCTCGTTGTTTGTATTGGAAGAACACATTGGGCGGCTCTGGTCCAGGACATAGTGTGAGTTATTTAGTAATAAGAAAGTCAGCAAATTGATCTTCGGCTCCTCCGGTCTGCAGTGTTCGACAAGTGAGTAGTAATAATCAATGCTAAATGAATCCCCATTGCATCATCAGTGTGTGTGATTTGTACAGGTGCATTGAATAAAGCAGCTTTTTAACAATAGTAAAGTACTGCATGCATGCCTGAATCTGAAAGGCAACTATTTACAAAGCAGTCTATATTGACAGTTTTTTTACAAGCTATTTTAATTATAATAGGCTTAAAAACATCATTTTGAAATTGCTTTTCACGTGTAAGAGTTCCAAAAGAGACTCATTACATTCCACTCCAGTGTTTTTCTTGCAGGCTTTGTAGCCAAAGTGGGAGTTATTCTATGCTAAACTTTTATATTCTATATTAAACCCACACACTGTGGTTGTTTAAAAAGTCATGTGCTAGACTCCGTACTTTTGAAAGAGAATTTAAAGGATTTATAAAGGAGAATAAAATGTATTTAAAGAACCAGTTTATACTTTAAAAAAAGGTCTACATTTCTGGGCTGTGTTCAAATTCATTAATCGTTTGGTTACGGATGATAGGGTTTACATATTTGCACCTTTGTTTATTTATTTGTTTTTCTGGGCGTGGCGACAGGCTTTGCGTGATAAGGAACCATGCACGTTGAATGATTCAAAGGCCAAGGCTGACTGACAAGTCGTGACACCTGATGTACGTGGCTGTGGGCCAAAGTCCCCCGGGGCCGTTTCCAGGAGTGAACTCCCAACTGGAATGCCAAAAACAGTACACCAGTCTGTCAAGCTTGTTTTTTCCCTGTAGTTTGCGCCGGCACACCTTCCAAGCTCTAAAAAGGAGCCCAAAGAGAAATCTTTCTTGTTTGTTTGTTTTGCACTCAAAGGGAAGTTACAGAGAACTCCCTTTATGGTTGTTGTTGAAAATGTTGACGTTGCTGTGCTATAATACCGACAAGGGATCAGCACGTTGAGCCCACTGTGAACCGGTTGCGTGTTAACAAATGAGTCGTTCGCTGCTGATACCGGTGAGGTTGAAAAGTCACTGATTAGAGCTGGAACGTGGCTCCCATCCAAAGGCCTTCGGCCTGCTCGTCATTTCCCTATCAAAATACGATCTGAATCAGGTTCAAAGCAGTGATGATAAACAGGAGCGTTTTGCACCGAGGCTCTGCTCGCAGTGACTGAAGCTCACCGGTGATGATCCCCGTTTCTTCGAGGAATATATACCCATCACGTCATCCTGCCTCATAGAAACTACACTGATGCCTTAATTGTTTGTGATATCCCAGACAAGCTTCCCATTGATATGTTTATCGACGTTAAAGCTTAGATTTTTATAGACTTGTCTTTCCTTTTTTAAAACGTTTGGGACTTTTAAAACAAGGTAACACAAACTGTAGCACTCCATCAGCTGCATATGAACATGGTTGTTTTGTTTTGTTTTTTTTACTTTGTAGAGTTGAAGAACAGCTACTCTTCATAATATCTTTGTGAGTCTTCTTTCTTTCTTTACACAGACACGTTACAAGGTTATTTCTCAACAAAGTGATAGCCAGCGCCTCTCCCCGGAGCCCAGCACCATTGTGTGTGGGATTTTGCTCCTGCCTAATCATTTTCTCGTGATGAACAATAGAAAGTTATTTGAGAATCCGTTGAATGCTTCCACATATCTATGAAATGTGATGTGTGGAAAGTTGGACGCAGTGGAAAAATGAAAAACAAAAATAACTTTTTTTTTTTCTCGTGCGTAAAACTCATGCGCAATTATTGGGTTCATGTGGCGAGACATGAGCTCTTGCCATACATCAGCCTCAGGTGGTCAGTGTGGCTTTGACAAAGATGGAGAGCAGCTTACGCAACAGTGCTTATCACATTTATGCTCATATTTTTTTAAAAATTTTCCGTTACGGGTGAACTTACCGCTGTCCTGCAGACTTGGCTGAACCTCCCTGTTGAATGCTCCGTGCTCCCTGTATGCTGCATGGGGGTAAGGGTACTCTGCCTTCCCAACGGGGTAGGCACCGCCGGGACCCATTCCGTTGAGGCTGTAGTGGTGGTATGCGTACGGGTTCATGTGCTGAGCGGAGTACGGCTGCTGTGCCGGGTAGAAATCCTGCGAGCCGTGGAGCGCGCTCTGACCGCTATAGAAGCCCATATCTGTGGAGGAGGACTCCGGCATGGTCGGGGAATCCTTGGAAGCCGAGATGGAACCACCGGCCACGGGGATGGAGGGCTTCTTCTCCTCGAAGACAGGTGAGGACTGCCCGTTCATTTTCAGGCGTTTATCTCGCTGTTGTCGTCTCAGATCGGGTTTGCTCTGAGCTCCGAAGCAGCACTGTTTGGAAACTCCTCACACAGTCTGAAGCTTGCGTTCCCAAACTCCCTTGACGCAGCAGCCAGGCTGTCCACCGTGGCGGCGCCCAACCCAACTAGAGCCCCTAATTACAGGGCGCGCCGAACTGAGCCAAGCCGAGCAGGACAGAGAGGAGTGGATGTCTCCTTCTCATTGGCTCGCCTGCTCGTTCCCTGCCTCTGCCCTGAGGCCAAGACAGCGCTGTCGCCTGTCTGGCTCCCTTCTTTTCCCCACATAAACCTCCAGTAAGCCTCTCCTAGGGCCTTCACCAGAGCGCGTAAATAGCTGGCAGGACTTACTCAAAAGTCCTTATTTTATCTACCTCGAAATATATTCAAGTTAACATAGAGAACCGTGAGCAGAGCAGATAAAATATGTAGCTACTAACCAAACTATGCGTAATGGTGTTGCGATAAGGAGTGTTAACGCATTAACGTAATAGTGCTGCCTCCCATTTAAATGCAAATAGAGCCAGGTGCTGTTTAAGAACACGTTGGGAGTTATTTACAGTTAATCAAGGCTCGTCGTTTTCTTCTTTTACATGTGTCAATGTGGGGCCCCGGGCTTCTGCTCTGCCTGGGATGGGGGGAGAGAAACGGGCAGCAACAAACCTACTATAAGTTTTGAGTGCATGTGACATTCCCGAGAGACAATACAGGAGGATAATGGTAAAGCTTCCTTGCAGTACCTCAGTTTGAAGTGAAACAGTACAAAGTGCTATAGTTTGCAGTAACAGAGGGAGCTTGTTAAAAACTGAATGCTAATTTGGCTTTTTGCATACACAAATTACCATCTCCCTCACAGGCTCTTTGATCGAATAACACTGAATCTCACCACCAGGCGTCGCTGTTGAGACTACAGGGGTTTTTAATGAAAACGCTTTCACAACCGGCCTGATGTAATAGAACTGTTCTTACCTCTAACCAATAACCGCAGGATTTGTTCACAAGTTTAACACTTTTAACTGTGAAGCTCCCTCTTTTAGGAACACATGTAAACCACATACTTGTTTCTTTTTAGCTAACTATGTTAGCAAGTTAGTCTTTACTTTTAGCTAACTATCGCCTTTAGAATGCATGTTTGCCAACCTGAAACTGTTACTGTATCTATTCGTATGTTTCTTGGTTAACCATTCTTTGCTTTAAAGAAAACATCTTAACCATTTACTGGTTTTCCTTAGTAACAGAAATATACTTGAGCTTGCACCGAGTTTTCTCTAACTGCTCATAAACACATTCAACCTGAATTGAAGCTACTGTAGCCATTTCCATATTCATTGCTATTAATGTATCAGCTACCTTTAGCTAATTATACATTTCTTTATTAGAATTAGTAAAAGCAGATTTTGTAACCACTGCCTTTGATTGTATAGCCTTCTTCACATGCTAGCTTTTACATGGCTCACCCAGAAGATGCTCAGCAGACTCCCCTTATAATTAACTGAACAACTGTGTTCTTATCAATATCATTGGTTGACAGTTAGTTTACTACAGGCAAGTAAACAAGTTAAATGTCATTTTCAACATACTACCAAAGTTGCTGGAACAATAAAGAGTGAATGGGTGATTATTCCCAGTGTTGTAAAAGCACACCGCTTGCAGGTTTGACTTTTTTATTAGCATTTTTCTTTCTCTATGTCATATATGGTAAACCTTTGAGTCCTTGCAAAATTAAGTTCCCAGAAATGTACAGCTTTATTTTCTTCAGCAAAGCCTGCCCTTTTCTGCACAACCGACTCATCATATCTCAGAACACAGAGTTCACCATCAAGTCATATCTTAAGCCTCAAAAGCTCTTCATGTGACTGACCGAGCTCTCAGTGGCAAGGTATACTCTGTTCTTATGGATTATAAAAAAAGGGGAACAGTGTGAATACATCATCAGGCCTGGGATGAACAGAGGCGCTTGGCAATGTTATATACAAACAGGAGGTGGGAGTGCAGAGGGGAGGAAAGAGGAGGGGGTATTGGAGACCCCAGCATGGTGTGATGACTGTTCTCCCCTTTTCCTGTGGCATGGTCCCAAGTGGACAGAAGAGCAATTCCCTGTATGGTCCACAAATCCCAGAATGCCTTGTGAGTGAGCGAATGAGCACACTTAGGGTGAAAACGTTAAAGGGAGAGGGTGGCAAAAGTTGTGGTAAGGAAAGAAGGGCTGTTTGATGTCCTGTGGACAACACGGGGTCCATTTTTCACAACAACAGATAAAATTCAAATGTTCGGTTTCAGGGTTGGCTGGAAAATTAAACAGAGCAGGTAGAATTCAGATCTACCTACCAACCAACCCACCTTCACCCTTTTTTACACTCTGAGAACAGATCAAACATTTGTGTGTGTGTGTGTGCGTGTGTGTCTGTTTATAATACATTTATGTATAAGTGCTGTATATGTATTCTTTACTGGTATTTTACAAGATTCCCTGATGGCCAGCGCAGAGAGAAACAGGAACCAAAATAAAAACTAAACAAAAGGGAAAAGGAAAAGAGGCTCATCCAATTTTACATACAGTAAAAATCAGTGGTGGGAGAAAAGAAGAAAGGCGCAGTGCCTGGATTTGTCCATAGGGAGGAGCACTTTGTGTCTGATCAACCCCAATTAGATTGGAAGGAAGAGACAGTGACAGGAGGGGCGGGAGAGCAGAGGGCTGAGGGAGGACCAGGAGGAGCGGGCAGTCCACCCTGTCAGTTTGCTGTTCTGTTGGGTCATCTTCAGTGGGGCAGCTGGTTGTTTTGCTTGCTGGGTTGTTGAGTGTTTTGTGATCTCCTCATCCTTCTCCCCTCGTCCCTCCCGGGTTGAAGTGAAGCAATCGACAAAGGTCAGACTGGCCCACGTCACTCCAGACAGGAGGACAGATGGTGTCACTCTGAGAAGAACCATAAAGACAAACAAGACAGAAAAAATGATCAACAGACACCAGGATGAGGTTAGTTTATGTTTGCCTTACAGGCAGCAGGACACACCACACTCGGGACCAGGCTAGCTGCTTCTGATTTACAGAGCAGACAGAAACCGCTCTTCTTTTTTCTGTGCTACGTGCTGAACATTGGATTGGGCACGTCGGGTGATGGAGGGATCAGACAGCTACCTACAAGGATTGAGGACGGACACACGCTTTTTAACCTGTCACCTACATACTATTGTGCCAATGATAAAGTCATTTATAAAACCTCTGGACCTGTTACAGCAGGAGTTGTGCTCAACCTGTCACACACATGACCCAGTACACAAAAACTCAGCTAAAGATACAGAACCAGAATCCTGGCTGCACAAACACACACAAAAAAACACAATCAAGAACAAGCAGACCTTCAAATATTTTGTAATCTTAACTTCATTGTGTGCAAAAAATCTCTCAAAAATATGTCTGAAAAATATCATTTGAACAGCTTCTGATGAATAAACTGCAAATAAACCCAGGTCCTTGTTCAGCAAACCTGTACGCCATGAGGAGGAAACCCTGGCTCAGCGCAGCCACACCACCGTGTACCTTCTTCATATATCTCCCTCCAGGAATTTGCTGACATTTGTTATTCTTTATGAGTGCAAGGATCATTATTCTTCATACTGAGACAGTGATTTTTATTCTCTCTGTGATAAATTAAAAAACTGCAGTGAAAAAGTAGCCGGTAATACACACGAGGAATCAACACAACAATAGTTGTAGTCTGCATCGCTGTGTGTTTTCACAATGAGGCAAAACTTTATTTATATAGCACCAAATCACAACAACAGTAGTCTCAAGGTGCTTGAGGTAGAGATTTTCTGCTGAAGCATAAATCTGCAGTTAGTGACACTGGTGACTTTTGCTTTTTCAGCAGTTTTTAATGACAAGTTTAAAAATTTACAATCGTTCTATAAGTGTGTATTTACGTGTTTGTATTATTACTGAACTACAATAACTCAAAGAATGGACTATTTTGACATCGTCGTGTACAAAGTGTTTTGAAATGCATAAATGAAACCTGGTTTTTTGTTCATTTTAGGAAACATAAAAAAAGGAAATCATCAAAAAATATTTGACTTTAGCCGTTTTTCTCCTGCTGCGTCGCATATCAGTCTGTATTGACTGAAAAACCCGCAAAACATTAATTAATTATTCAATCAATTTTCATCAGCTACCAGAATAATTGATGAAATCATTAAATCCTGGAGAACTATTCACTCAAACGATTCCCAATCTTACCTGTCAAAACACATTTTAAAACCTTTAAATCTCATCTCGTCATCCATCAGTCCAAAACTCCAAAGAGGCTCAGTTTACAGCGATGAGATGGAGGTGAAGCAGTAAACACTCACACTAAACCGCTAACTACAGGACCTTCAACTCGCTGTGAGTCAATAATGATCATGCTGAAGGCAAACACCACACCCAGACTCACAGTTGGCAGGTGAATACGAGTTATGTGACAGAAAGAGACGGCAGCGGCATCTAACTGAACCCCTGGTTCTGATCTTTAATTCAGTAACAAACAGGCTGACGGAGGTTTTCTATACCTTACAGTAAACAGGTCAGAGTCACCACAAATAAGCTCCGAGGTTTCATTTTTACAGGATTGGTCTTGGCCTCCTTTAAATCTGCAGAGCCAGACACACATTTTACTGATTCATGGATTCCAAATATTTAGAAATTAAAATAAAATTCATACTTTGGAGAGTAACTCACTTTATTGTGTAGTTACTTCATCACTGCTCAAGACTGCTGGAATGAAGTAAAAGCATCTTTCTACAGTGCATGTGAATGATCTCAATCAGACTCACCTTATGTAAGCTTCTTGGCTTTGTTGTAGAGAGAGTCCACCACTTTGCTCATGTTCTGAATGGTCTCTAGTGCCGCCTCGTACGTCTTATCCACCACCGGCTCATCAAACACAATCAGGACGCCTTCACCTTGGTCCAAAATACCTGTGGAGTAGGAAGGAGTGAAAGCAGGAAAGAGCCACAAAACATCATTATTTAAAGAGGAAAACACTCGTACACAGTGATGTATAGAAGACCTGCATCAGGACTGGGACTGTGAGTGAACGTTATAAACCATACTGCACAATTAAATTCTATTTTTAAAAAAGACCTTTGATCAGGGAC